TGTCGGCTGGCCCTCTGTCGGCCAGCCGAAGAGATTAGACAATTTCAACCAAACGTTGGACATCGTAATATTTCGCCCAAACTTATTTCAAGTTCGAAGATGAGAAATTTCGGTCCATTCCTTTTGGTACCTCACCCGCAAATGGTCAAAATGTTCAATATTTACAAAAACAATAAAGTCAAATGGAACGTCCGATTTGAACCAAAAGTTTGCATAACCTAGATCAAGTCCGAAAAATTGACTAATTATTCCACTTCGTCGGGTAACTCCCCCACAAATTGTCAAAATTTTCGATATTTATAAATTGAACATTAGGCAAAAAAAAAATGTCTGATCTCAACCAAACTTGGCAAAACCAAGTATCTTTACCAAGCCTAAAATGAAGTCCGAAGCAAAGTATACGGATTTCATTTCGGGGGGGCCCGGTAGTAGAAAATGTAAAACTTCGCTGTTGCAAACATAAATTTACTGTGAAAAAAATTATTTCTGCGCACGTCCCTGATGGAACCCAATGGTCCTCCCCAACAAATGGTCAATATTTCCAAATCCAATAGCAGGCGGAAGTAACTTACGATTTGAACCTAAACTTTGAACAACCTATTTTCTTTACCAAGCCCAGATCATGTTCGAAGATGGCACCCAATTGTCCACTCTTTCTGGTACCCTTCCTCACAAATAGTCTAAATTGTCAATATTTACACATCCGATATGAGGAGAAAGGAATGTCCGATTTGAACCAAAAATTTTGCACAACCTATAATCTATACCGAGTCTAGATGAAGTCCGATGGTACACTCCTACGGGTTCTTCCCCTACAAATGGTCAAATTTTTCAATATTTACAAAATCAGTAACAGCAAATTGAATGTCAGATTTCAATCAAACGTTGTACTACCTATTTTCTTTATCAAGCCAAAATTAAGTTCGAAGATGGGACCCAATGGTCCACTCTATCCGGTACCTCCCCCACAAATGGTCAAAATTGTCAATATTTATAAATCGAACATCGGGCAATGGGAGAATGTCCGATTTGAACCAAACTTTGCACAAACCAATTACTTTTACTAAGCCTAGTTAGGGTTCTAAGATAAGACCCATTGGTACCTCCGCCACGAAGGTACCAATGGCTCCGAACCACAGATTGAGGGTACTTTTTCATCGGCAACACTTTTTTCTAGTTTTTTTTTATAACCTTCATCATACTGTGGTACAGGGTATTATGTCTTTGTGCATATGTTTGTAACAGGCAAAAGGAAACGAGATAGACACATGGTTCCCTTTAATAATATGCATAGAATCACTTTCTGAATCGATTTATGCATGTCTGTCCGTTTGTTGGTATTAAATTGTATACAAAGTTCAGCTCAAATTGGATGAAATTTGGCACAGCTCATTAATTTGACTCAAGGACGAACCCTATTGAAACTGTGAAATATCGGTTCAGATTTAGATATAGCTTCCATATATATTTTTGTCCGATTTAAGGTAAATGGTGCACCAAAGCCCCTATATATCTTTCGATTTACACGAAATTTGGCACAGCGTACTGAATTAAGTCTACAATGATGTGTGCTAAGTTTCGTAGAAATTGGTTCAGATTAGATATAACTCCCATATATATTTTTGTCCGATTTAATGTAAATGGAGCTCCAAAGTCCCTATATATCTTTCGATTTGCACGAAACTGGTATAGCGTACTGAATTGAGTCTAGAATGATGTGTGTTAAGTTTCGTGAAAATCGGTTCAGATTTAGATATAGCTCCCATATATATTTTCGTCCGATTTTATGCAAATGGTTTACAAAAGTCCCTATATATGTTTCGATTTGCACGAAATTTGGCATATCGTACTGACGACATAAGTGTAGAATGGTGTGTATTAAATTTCGTGGAAATCGGTTCAGGTTTAAATATAGCTCCCTACATATTTTTCGATTTGCACGAAATGGACAGTTGAACAGTGCGGCATACCGAATAGCGTGTATAAAGTGTGCTAAAAATCGATTTACATAAATTTGTCCCATTGCAAACGACTCTAAATCTGCTCGAATGATATGAAATTTAGCATAAGATACAGAAAGGCATATGTATGGATTGATGTTATTCGGTTCACTTATAGATAAATATCACATATTTCAATTTGAAATTATTTGGATCCACATCTAAAATATACCCAAAATGGTGAAGGGTATCATATAGTCGGCCCAGCCCGACTTTACTACTTTCCTTGCTGGTTATAATGATCGTTTAATAGTATCTGTTTTGTCTGGGAGCTGTAGAGGCCACAATTATGACCCACACATCACGAAATTATACACGGAGAAAGGGATCAGACCAAAGAAATATCGTGCCTCTTTTCTTGATAATCAGTCAATATTTAACATGACAAAAGGACCCATACTTTTGTGTAAAAAATCGCAAAATTTTGCATTCTATGGCGTATATATTTACCCCAGAAGGACATAGATCGGGGAAGTTGACTGTATTTCCATAGAGGAGTGTGTGACCACGAAATTGATACAAATTATATTGTTGTTGTATATAATCGGTTGTTATTGTATGTACTCGGATTGGGGTGTTTTACGTAAATATAGATAGGGTTCTACCGATTATGATATTGGTTAGTATTACCCTTACCACCTGAGATGGCGCCGATCGACATGAAATTCTACAAAAATTTCCACGACGACGCTTATAATTGTCGGTGATGGTCAGATGATATTTAATTGTTGAAATGGACTGCAATTTTTATTTTGTCTGATTTTTTTCTATTCGCTTTAGACGCAACAATTATAAGCCGCAAATCAGAAATTGTCCATAGGGAAGGGAATCTCGCAAACTAATTGGAAGAGCAGTTTTCTTAATAATCGGTCAATATTCAAATCAACCAATACCTTTCTGTGTAAAATTAAAAAAATGTATGTTGTTTCGTAAATGTTCACCCCGGGAAAACAAAATTTGGGAAAATACACCAGGTTAAGAAAGAGAAGCTGTTGACCTTTAATCTGTCAAGAGGGTGTACATGTAGCGTAATATTGCCCAGGCTCGTAATATAGATCCGAAGAAAGTTTGAGTTCCGTGGTAGTTATGTAGGTTATCATATGGTCGTCCGTTTTCGTTCACTGGTTTTAAGATTAGAGCACCTCCATTGGCATTTTTATAAAGGTCTATGTCATGGTTATTTGTTTCCTGGAAATAACGAAACACTTAGGTTGGAAAAGTTGTAAATTCTTCAACATACCGAAAATAATGCATGTGACCTTTTGCATCGAGACTTGTATGGAAATTATTTTGTAATGAAGTTGTTTTGGGCCTCCAAAGTCCGGGAACAAAAATTTACTACTTGGAAAATGTGCCTAGGACCATTAAAGTGCCTATAAAGCTACGACCTTCAAATGGCTACTATATTCAAAGATCGCCCCATAATTTCTATAATTTTTGGTACGATGATATGACAGCCACTGAGAACCAAAAAATAATACGATATAGCCAATCAGTAATCACCAATATACCAAAAAGTGGAATGTACCGATATATGGGGACTACTCTAAAAAGTTGACCAATACCGATAATTTTTGATAAACAGATTTACTACCCAATGAGAAACAAGAAATATCTAATACCGATTCGATTAAAAAATACCAAAATCCGTTCAATACCGAATATTCAAAAAATAACGATATTCGGGGATGTACCTTTACATGGGGCTAGCCTACATATTGGACGAATATTTATATATATATTTTTTTTTTTTTTTTTTTTGAAAGATTTGCCAATATATAAAAATTAAAGCCATTTCGATTAGAAAAACCTGCCCAATATTACTTAAAAGTACCGAATAATGCGGGTATAGTTACATGAGGGGTGGGCCTATACCAAAACGTGAATCGATAAAATATTGAAAAATATAAAATAGAAGAAGCAATTTATGAGCTATATTTCAAACTTATTACACGTCACGTCCAGGCTTTATTGGATAACCTGACAACATTTCGGGTTTACCATTTAAATATTGGATATATTGGAGCTATATTTAAATCTGAACCGATTTTTTAAAAAAAATTTAGTACACTTCATTCATTAGGCTTAATTCGGTACGCTGTGCAAAATTTCGTCGTAATCTGACCAAAATTTGGTGTTGGGTCCATCATTTGCATAAAATCGGAGGAAAATATGTATATGGAAACCATATTCAAAAGTGAAGCGATTTCGATAAAACTTCAAATATGTCATTGTAGGCTCAATTCGGTACACTGTGCAAAATTTCGTCACAATCGGTCCTAAATTTGGGTTTTTGGTGCATCATTTAGATAAAATCGGACATAAATATTTTTGGGAGCTATATATAAATCTGTATCGATTTTAATAAAACTTCCGAACATGTCATTCTAGGCTAAAATTGTTACGTTGTGAGATCGGACGCAAGTACATATGGGAGCTATATCTAAATCTGAACCGATTTTAATGAAATTTAATATACTTCATTCTAGGCTTAAATCGATACGCTGTGCAAAATTCCGTTGCAATCGTACCTAAATTGGATGTTTGATGCACAATTTAAATGAAATCGGCCGAAAATATATATGGGAGCTATATCTAAATCTGAACCGATTTTAATAAAATTAAATACAATTCATTCTAGGCTTAATTCGATACGCTTTGCAAAATTTCGTTGCAATCGGGACTAAATTGGGTGTTTGGTGTACCATTTCCGTTAAATCGACCGAAAATATATATCGGAGTTATATCTGAATCTGAACCGATTTCAATAAAACTTCAAACATATCATTCTAGCCTCAATTCGATACGCTGTGCAAAATTTCGTCGCAATCGAACGAAGATTGCTTGTTTGGTACACTAGTTACGTGAGAACGTATATATACTCCATTTGAACGGTCCCGAGGTATTTTTGCCCTGTCGGCAAAAATCCAACCAATAACTTATTCTTCTTGGATTTCTGTCCAAAACATTGAAATGATATTCCTTCCCATCATCACTCACCTTCCTCAGACGTCTGCGTTCACGCATAGTAGCCGCTTTCCGGCGGTCCACGGCAACGCTTTTCTTTTTGCACGCCTTACAGGCCCACGTTAGACAGGGTCGCGACGATTGAGCATTGGCACAGACCAGAGGTGCCAAGACATGTTCCTCGGAGCTTAAACTGTTCTCATCGTAATCCGTAAAAATTGGCGATGGTGTCAAATTGTGGGATTCACTTGGTGTTGTATCGCTGAAATTGCGAAAAGTGCAAACATTTGTTGTGGAGTTGTTGTTGCTGTTGTTGTTTTCGCAATTTGTTGCTGCCGTGTGTAAACGTGATAAGAATGAATGTAATTGTTGTTGTTGTTGCTGCTGGTGTTGTTGATATTGGTGATTTTGTAGGTGTTGTTGTTGGTGCTGCTGCTGTTGTTGTTGGTGTTGATGATGAATTTGTTGTTGTTGATGCTGCTGTTGTTGAACAACATTTTGTTGTTGTTGCATTCTGTTTTGAAATTGATATTGGATCATTGAATTATAGAATTTATCTTTTTCAAATTCAGTTTTTTCTTCTTCTTCTTTTTCTACTTTGAACTCTTTTTTAATTGGAACAAAACTATCAAAACTTTGACACTCCGTGGCTCTATTCAATTGATTTGCGATTTGGTTACACTCAAAATTTATGTTGCAATATTTGGTCATAATACTTAATTTTTTCAATTATTTTGTTTTATAATATTTTTTTTTTTAATTTCACTTCACTATTTTTCCGTCGTTCACAAATAAACCAAAAATATATCCGCGCACCGAATCGTTGCCGTCGTTCTTCTTCGCGCGTCTATCATCGGCGACACTCATTTAACATTTGGTGACAATATTTTCGTTTTGTCGTCGTTTTCATTTCAATATTTGTTTTGAAAATTCTGAGTGAAATACTCAAAATTTTTTTTGTCACAATTCTGAATTTTGTGACTTGAGTGCTGGGCTATTTTTAAATCGTATGCCGATTCGTCGAATCGATGTTTGTTTCCTTTCTAATATTTTCGTAAGCGTAAATGATGTGAATGTGTGTGCGTGTGGGAAGCACTACAACACACATGTAAGCCTTTTTAAGTGTGTGTGTATGTGTGTGTGGGGGTATCTGTCGTATGATCACACCCCTAATTTCTGTTGGCTGCTTCCTTTGGCATTGGCTGCCTAGTTCGGCTCTTAGTGGTCAATTGTATGGTGTCCCGGCATTTTATGTTTTTTTTTTTTTAAATTAATATTCGCACATCGAATATAGAGAATTTTCCCAATACGAGATGTTGGAATTATATCCTCCATCACAATCCACACGACTGTCCATATCTTAACAAAGTTCAGATCACATTTATGATCCGAAGTAAATGAAATTTGACATAGCACATTTATTTGTGGAATCGGTTCGGATTTAGATATAGCTCCCATATATATTTTCGTTCGATTTCCAGTAAATGATGCACCAAAGACCCTACGTTTGTTGACACAAAGTGTATTAAAGCGTACCAAACTAAGCTAAGAATATCGTGTATAAAATTTTATTGAAATCGGTTCAAATTTAGATATAGCTCCCATATATATTTTCGTTCGATTTCAGGTAAATGTTACGCCAAGGGCCCCATGTTTGTTCGATTTACACGAAATTTTGTATAGAGTATTAAACTGAGTCTAAAATATCGTATGTTGAAATCGATTTGGATATAGCTCCCATACATAATTTTATCCGATTTCCTGTAAATAGTGCACCAAAGACGCTATATTTGTTCGATTGAAACGAAATCTTGCACAGCGTACCAAATCGAGTGTTATATAACGTGTACAAAGTTTTAACGAAATCGGTTACAAATTAGATATAGCTCTCATATATAGTTTCGACCGATTTTATGTAAATGGTGCATCAAAGACTCAAAGCATGTTAGATTTACATGAAATTTTTCATAGCGTATCCAATTGAACATAAAATGACGTGTGTTAAGTTTCGTTGAAATCGGTTCAGATTTCGATATAGCTCCCATATATATTCTCGTTCGATTTTAGGTAAATGCTACCCTAAACTCCCAAAACTTGTCCAATTGAGACGAAATTTTGCATAGTGTAATAAATTGAGTCTCGAATAACGTGTGTTAAGTTTCATTGAAACCGGTTGAGATTTCGATATAGCTCCCATATACATTCTCGTCCGATTTTATGTAAATGGTCCACCAAAGGCTATATTCCGTGTTCGATTTACACGAAATTTTGCATAGCGTATTCAATTAAGCCAAGAATGACGTGTGTTAAGTTTCATTGAGAAACTTAAGAAACCTAGCCCTAATTTGATTATTATTGGTTGTCAAATCTTCGCACCAACAAAAATTTACCATGACATAGCTGGCCAGTTATAAAGGTCCCGATCGATTAACGAAATATTTTAAATGTTCACCTCATGGTGGAGTTAATCAATCACTGTGATGAAATATACACTTCCTACCATGGTTCATCCGATCAGATCATCGAAGATTATTTTTGTGCCATTATTTTTTCTTTCTTCTATGATTGTCCAAAAAAAAAAAATAATTTATTGTTGTTGCCCAGAAAATATATCTTCAACGTGATCTTCTAAATCTTTTGGAATTGTTTTGTAAATCTGACTGTCGGCAGTGATTTGTTGTGGTTGTAGTTTAACCATTTGGTCGTTTATTTATCGATGCGACTACAAGCCCCGCCACCACCCTACTCTACCCATAGCATTGTAATGCAAGTGCAAGAAAAAAGTAGCAATGAAAAACAAAACATCCGCCCACCTTTTGTTTACCAAAGTGCCGGCTAAAGATATTCATCATTCAGCGTCCACATATAACAATGTGTTGGTTTCATCCCGCTTCTTTTTGGTGAGGTGTTCATCAATTCTTTCTTTCTTTTTTTTTTGGTCTTGGACCCTGTCATTGTTGGGCTTTTTTGTTTTGATTTATTTGAAAAGATCGTTTGGAACAAATATTTTGATTTGTATTCCTTAATTACTCACCATACACACTTACAGCTCCATCCATATAATTTAAAATCGTCAGAATATCTGAATTTGGTGATTTATGTCCGACACTTGAGATCTACGGCATAACACAAATAAATATCTATTTTGACCAAAAAATAAAAATACCGAATAGTGGTATGCACCTTTATGTAAGGGCTCCTATAAAATTGCCCTATAAAATATATATATATATATATATTGGGATATTGATTTTCTACCTAATGAATAATAACCCAAAATTTTAAATTCTAGCACATTTGGTTGAAAAATGTGCCCAAAATCCCCCATCCTAAAACGTTGATCGATATTATCCATTTTCAATACCAAACATTGTATGAGCTAAAATTCATACCTTGTTCACATAACCAGGACATTCGACAGGTGAATGAGAACATCCATTCAGATACAAATATTAATGGCTTAGGAAGTGGAAGCAATTGATCCTGGCTACTTGTGTAGGCTTGAGTGGACGAATATTTAGTCAGAAAGGAATTATTAGACAGCATATGGTTCTTCTCACAAAATTTATATTGAAGTGACCGTGAGTGAAAGATGTAGTTTTTAGTTTTCAAATTCAGAGTACTTCGCTTTATTTATAAACTTAAACTGATATACAAATACTTAAATTACTGTGTTCTGCTTATGCTGTTGTTCTGCTAATGCTCCGCTACAACTACCTAGAGGCGTGGTGACGTTCGGAACGAGGTTACTTATGCAGCATGAAGAAATTGTTGGTTGGGACGATACGAATCAGGTTTTGGTCCCTTACGGCTCCTTAACTTTACGGTCAGTCACACTGCTTTCGATATATGTAGGCCTCTACGGTTCTTCACGGTAAAAATACTTCTATAAAAAGTTCCATGATGATACTCTATTTCGATTCTTCTGAAATTACTTTTAAATAAAGTTCAAAATCCATTTTTAATACAGACCCACGACGGCTCTTTATTTCGACTTGGCTAAAAGCACTTTAAAAAAGGTAATAATAGGTCCACGACGGCTCTAAAAATCTACACGGTTAAATCACTTATAATCATAGGCCCACTACGGCTCTTGTTTCGATAGACTAAAATCACTTTTTTCACCAATTGCTACAGTCACCCTTACTGCCTTCTTTCCGCGCTTGTAATTTCACTACGTAGCCTCGGGAACTTCCTCCCACTGTACTGACTGTATACAGTATACTAAGTGGCTACAGTATAAAATAGAACTATAAATCCTATTCTGCTAAGTCCTGATTGTCGAGAGAGCTGAGGGGTATGACAACCCAGACAATTGCAGTAAGTAAAATTCCTTATGTAATACTGGTATATGTTATATGGCTTACAATGAAGGAGACTACGAAACTATTATATATCTAGCGCCGTATTTAGAATGCTAGGCGAACATCTCAACAAACTAGTACTTACACAGATTTTCTTAAAACTTTACATGTCAAACTTCAATTAACTTAAAACTACCTTAGATCTAAACTTACAATTAATGAACTTATAATTCTCATTTTATTGAGCTTAAGTAGATACAGGCTCAATATCGGCGTCAAATCTGTGGTAACTTCGATGGTAGTACATCATCTTCGTCATATAGGATTCCTCTATCTCGCAGCTTGGCAAAACTGCACTTTTTGTTTTTGAACTTATAAAGAAACCCAATTACAGGATTAACACCAATTTCTAATATCTCCATTGCCTCTTTCTACTTTATTTGTAGTGTAAGTACGTTACGATAAATCTTTGCTCCGAACTCGACCGTGACCAGATGTAGAAAAAATTACCGAAATCGAATTGTTTGTTCTTTGGGGATGGCCACATGTCAGAATTCCTCATATAAAAATGCCGTATACTTACTAATTTAAAATTAACTGCCCATCACATCTTAAAATTCACTAGTGCTTCCTTCACATAGACTAAAAGTATCCTCCTCCAAATTGGGATTAAAATATTCCTCCACATCCGAATGTTTGGATATCTTTTCATTTTGAAGACTAGCACAAACGAATGATGATGAGGCTGTCACATCACCACTACAAATGTTGGCACATAATGGCAACTCCTTGGCGATGGATTTTAATAAAACTATAATTTCGAAGAAATTCACCGATAATGGTATAATATTATGGCAGCTATGTGCTCCCGCAGCATCAGGCACAAGTAGTTCCGTACATTTTTCCAAATCTTCAAAAAATTCCACTATATTTGGATCCGAATTGATTTTCTCATCCAGCTCACGTATGCCCTGATTGGGTGAACAATTGCGAAAATGTTGACAGAACGCCTGAATAAAGGGCGAACCTCGATTCGGGCAACGTAACGACATAAAGTTGTTGGGTACACTGTACAAAATAGTCGTATTCTTCTTCAAATAACTACCATCCGTTGCTGTAATATTTGTCAAATCGTTGTCATCGGCCCATTCGATATTTCTTTGACCGCGACATTTGTTAATGGCAAAATGTATTTCAGTATTCTGCAGAAAATGGTTATTCTGTATGGGCCGTACAATATCTTCGGCTATATCGATATGGCCATCATAAGTGTAAAAAATATCATCCTGCCCGCCGTGCGACATAAGAAATATCAACATATTTTTTAAGCCTTTGAAATTCTTATTCGATATGTAATGGATAATTTCTAAGAGCTCTTGGCGATTGCTGTCCTCGATAAGCATATATGGGATGCGGGCAATTTTCAGTTCACGTATTAGACCAATGACATCACGTTGACTTCCCTGGCGCACGCCAAAATGATTTGTAAAATAATAATTGTTAATAATTATCGCCAAGGCAGGATTAATACTGTACACATACAAATCCGCTGCTGTGTTGCAAGTAGAGGTGACTGCACAACCAGTTGTAGAGAAGTTCTCCCGCAATGACAATGCCAATGGCTGTAGAATTTGTATTAGCATCAAATAGATAATTTGCGGATAGCTGTAAGATTCACACATCTCGTTGGCCCTAAACCATTGCAGCAGTATACAATTATCCACTGGGGAATTTTTAAAAATTGACAAATCTCGTTGGGCCTCTGATACATTTATAGTCAGGTTTTGATCGAAAAGATGGAAGTTATTCGCTGTATTACATTCAATAAAATATCCCAAACTTTGAAATATATTTGTAATGCCAGCGAGTTTCTCATGTTCCTGGTGGCGTGTTAATTTTTTTGTTCGATGGTTTGTTAACTTTGTGGAAATTCTCAAATCATAACGAACGGTTATGACTTTGGATTTGTAACGTAAATAGGAATTCTGCGACATGGCCTTCAGCACTTGTGACAAATAGCTACCGCCACCATCCTCCCCACTGCTAGGATGCAGTAGAACAAAAACACTTGCAATGCCAATAAATTTGGAATTTTCCAATTGTTGCAGAATCACTTCAGGGGTCTTACTACAGTGCAAATCTATTGCAGGCAAATTTTCAAAAAACCGTTTAGTTTCTTCGTTGTGTTTCGATTGTTCTCCTGCATGGGGATTTTCAAAATAAAATATGGCCACTTTTAGTCCCGCTTCTGCAAGGTATAATTCTTTGATTGTGTATATATCCCATAAGGTTTTTGTAAATGTTTCCAATATATTTACTTTTGGCCTAATAATGGTTTCGGATTTTGAATTACTTTTGAAGAAATTTGTTATTTTCTTTGTCATAATTCGCTTGTGGCTTTGTCTTCTCTCAATGCAATACTGAGTGACTGTTTTTTTTTTTTTGCAAAAAAAAAAAATATTTTATCAATTGAATTCTTAAGAAATTTGTATTTATTATCTTAACATTCGCTCTATCCACTTTGTGAGTGAGAGAATTTTATAGTTTGTTTTAAGAGGGTAAAATAGCCCTGTAGGAAACTGGGCAGCTAGTAGACTTCTGAAGCGCTAAAGAAAACGCGAGACTTTGATTCAATGCAGACATATCCAAGAAAAAACAGAGAAGATGATAATTTCTATAAAATTATTACATTTTTTTTTCATTTCAATATTTATTCTAATACAGTATTTTTCGGTTAATTGACCCTACGGTTAATTGGTTTCCACGCTTAATTGAACCACATGATGGGTCAAAAATATTTCATTTCATAGTAAGCGGGTTCGGATAATTGGTTCCTCGGTTAATTGAACAAAAATTTGTGCAAATTTTGATGTGCAATTAACCGAAAAATACTGTACTATGGCATTTACAATATGAATATTCGTTGCCATATAAAAGAAGTTTATATGTAATTGTTTAATTGAGGACCTCAATAATGAATTATAAATAAATTTCATCTGACTGCACTCGAATTGATAGATAGAGGAAAGAGCTCAAAAACAACCGCAGAAGGTCTCCAGAAGGTGTTAGATGAGATCATACTCTGGGAAATCAATTGTGATGATTGACAACAAACTTGAATCAATATTCTAAAAACAATCTGTAGTACATTCGCTGCCGCAACCAAACGACAAAAACCGTTGCTCTCATGGAGAGAATTCCAGATGTATAGATCGACGAGCTCACCTCCTTGCAGCAGGTGTCCCATTATTATTATTATTGAAGGAATATACCATCTCCTTATGGTTTTCCTTTTTTGGGCTTTCCGGGCACAAAATGTTCATCGATCACTGCATACCAAAGTCATTCGCAGTAGCACCTCCTCGCGACGAGATCTTCCGGTTATTCTTCTCGGATCTTTACGAAATACTGGGCGCACTATTTTCGTGGATTACTGCATTGCAGTGCTCATCTTCTGGATACCCTCAGTCGATGGTTAGTCGTGGCAGAGATGCTTGGAGTACTTGGGTACCTATGCACTTTGCGGTCTTACTCCACGGTGATCATCTTTTTTGATGAGAAGCGAGGTCAACCTAAAACTCCTGCCTTTCTATGGGTCAGACACCCGGTTGTAATACAACTTAATTCCGTAAAAATACTTAATACAATGCAAGAATCCCTTAAAGGGATAAAAAGCAAAAGTTGCCACCAACATCTTACGACATTAGTAGCCACCCATATATTCCACCTCTCCCAACAATTGTTGCAGCCGTTTCCGAACAAGTGGAGGGAAGGTCCGGCTTATCCTTTTGAGTATCAATTTGCTGTTCGCACTTGTTTCTCCGGTTTATCCAGGCCAGTTTCCGTCTTTGTGCCCCGTGTATCTGATTTTCTTTGTTCACTACATGCATCTGCAATAATTTTGATCACTTCTTACACCATATTCTCTAACTTTCTACGACGGCTATATTAGTCCTATTCTTCTGTACATAGTTGGTATTTGAGTTCCTGCCGCACTATGTCGCGAGTTCATATAAACAGCGGCCAAAAATAGAAGGAGTTATCGTAAGTTAATGAAATTTGGTACATGTGCTTATTATTGGCTTAAAGAGCAACTGACAAAAAATTGGATAGGTCGGACCAAGATTTGGTATACCTCCCATATAATGGGTCTTGAGAATGTCACCCTTTTTGGCCTATAAAATCATTAATATTCAAACAAATTCAATGAAAATTTGCAATTTACATTTAATTAAGCCTATAAAGCAACTGACCAAAAACTGGGTAGATCGGACCAAGATTTGATATACCTCCCATACAAAGGGTCTTGAAAATTTTACTACTTTGGGCTATAAAATCTTTAATATTCTACCAAATTCAATGAAAGTTGGCAATTTACATTTACTTATGCCTATAAAGCAACGGACCAAAAACTGGGTAGACCGGACCAAGATTTGATATACCTCCCAAACAAAGGGTCTTGAAAAATCCGATTTTTGGACCTATAAATTTTTTATATTCATCCGAATTCCACGAAAATTTTCAAATTTGATGTAATTTGGACGAAGACAGTTATACGTGTTGTAATTTAGTTGTTGGCCCATATTTCAGGTACCTACCATACCAAAAGTCCCTAAAAATGTAACTTTCTGTACTATAAAATCGTTATATGCAGCTAAATTAAGTATAGTAGTTTCATTTTTGTTATTTTTATTATAATATAAAAAATAAACTAATAAATTATTTTTTTTTAACATTCACAACATTTTCAAAACACACATCAGAGATATATAAAATATTGTCTTCCCAAATGTATGATTTAGTATCATCCACGTTATAATCTCGGGCCTTTACTTTATGGCTGTTTAAGGATATTACAAGGTCGGATTGTAATATGAAATACTAAATAAAATCCTTATTTAACTCGGCTTTAACAAAAGTTCGGGATGCTACTAATTATTTGTTGGCATGACTTGTTAACATCTTGTGAAAGTCGCTCAAAAGGTATTGTACTGCACTTTGCGTATCCCATGCCATGAACTAATATTTTTCTGTATGAACCTTCCACAAAGGTAATTCATGTGCGACCTCTAAATTAAGATTATAAGATTATGTCTCAAATGATCTGATAAATAAGTATAATCTTCAAACTGACTGAAAATTTATTTAAAAGCTATATTTTAAAACCAATTCTTCCATATCTCCGCTTCGAATAACGTTTTTACCACTTAATTGCATATTTTATGTAAAATATTGTA